TTACATAGGCATGCGTGCTTACTTTAGATGTGAAAACCAGGAAGTGGTGCTGTGGCTCAAGCGGTAGAGTGCTCGTCTTGAGCTGAAAAGCACAAGGACAGTCCCCAAGCCCAGAGTTCAAGCCCCATGACCTACAAAAAAAAAATTCATTTGTTATGGAAGTGGCACTATGGCTCAAGTGGTAGAGCACTCGCCTTGAGCTGAAGAGCTGAGGGACAGCGCCCAGGCCCAGAGTTCAGGCCCCACGACCGGACTCAAAAAAAAAAAATTGATGTGAAAACCAATCACGGCACCGTACTACATGAAGAAAATAAGGAAGCAAAAGAAACTGTAGAACATATGGAAACACTTAATGCCTTTGTATGATTAAAAAGATCATAAGCAACCCCGTCAGGGCAGGGCTCCATCCAGTAAGCCTAGACACCTGGCAGGTAGAGATGAGGGCACTGTGGTTAGAGATTGGCCCAGGCAAAAAATTCAAGACTCCATCTCAATAGTGGCTGGGAATGGTAGTGTCTCCCTGGCATCCCAGCTATAGTGGAAAACGAAATGGGAAGATCTTGTCCAGGCCAGCATTGGAAGAAAGCGGGGCCTGTGTCCCCAAAATAATCCCTGTGGAACTTTCTGGGAGTAGCGCAAGGGGTGAAGCGAAGGCCTAGCAAGCTCTAGGCCCTGAGTTCAAACCCTACCTACAAAAAAGACCTCCGCTGACACACATTGGGTAATGAAGGACGGGGAGCCTCCTTTCCCACCTCAGGGGCAGGTCAGGACACGGGTGTTTCTGGCCATTTCTGTAGATGCTAGCCAGAGAGACTGAGTTAGAGCAAAACCACGCACAGCAGCTGGGCTGGAGAAAAAGAAGTCACACTCATCTCGGTTTGTAGCTAGCAAATAGGCTCAGCAAGGTTGGTAGATACAAGATTAAAAAAAAAATCAACGTATAAAGCTGAGTGCCGACTGGGTGCTGGTAGCTCACGCCTGTCATCCTAGCTACTCAGGAGGCTGAGATCTGAGGATCACAGTTCCAAGCTGCCTGGGCAGAAAGAACTTACATCTCCAATCAATCAGCCAAGAGCCAGAAGTAGAGCGAGCTGTGGTACACTGCTAGCCTTGAGCAAAAATAAAACAAAACAAAACAAAGTGGGGTGTGTGTGAGGGAGAATGAGAGAACAGTACACTAATCACAACACACGACACTCCAGGTGAATGGAGCTGTAGCCGCCGGGCAGCGTGGACAGCAGGACAGGACACGGGTCACCAGTGAACCAGGGGGCGGCGGCAGCGATTCTGTCCCTAGAGCAGGAGGCGGGAGCAGCGGCCTCCAGCGTGGTGGAAGGGACTGGCAGGCCGGCCGGCTGGCCGTGGGCAGCTCATTCCGGCCCGGTGCACTCACAGCCTGGGCCGCAGCCCATGTGCAGCCACAGCGTCACGCCACGCAGCCTGCTCCCCCCCCCCAGCTCCCAAGTGTAACACACGCATACACACACACACACAGACATATACACTTACTGCAACAAGGGCAGAGGATCGGCTGTCCCAGGAGCACAAGAAGTGGTTTTTTTTTTTTGCTTTTTGTTGTTGTTGTTGTTTTTAAGTAAAAGCCTCTGCCCTCCCCCCCAGGCCCCAGTCTCCTCCCTCACCCAGATTCCTCCAGCTGTGGGCGGGAGCTGGCCCCTGGGGGAGGGCTGCTTACATTCCTGCACAACCCTGAGATCTGCCTGGTCGAAGTGCAAAGACAAAGGAGCCCAGAAAAGCCCCCCACCCTGGGCTGCTTGAAGTGGACCAAAAGGCAGCATTTTCCTGAGACATTTCCCGTTCACTCCATTTCTAGATGGAAAGTAGATAGAAGAGGTTTGTCGAATCTTCGTTGAAATAAAACCATTCTTTTGTGTGCTTGTGTATGCGTATGTGCGGGCTTGGGACTAAGCACAGACCACCACCACTGAGCTTTGCCCAGCACTTTCTTGTTTTGGGGGGTAGTCCTGCCGTGCTGCCCAGGCTGACCTTTGTCTCCAGGGTGCCAGCAATCCTCCTGCCGCAGCCTCTCCAGTACCTGAGAGTGCAGGAGACTATAGGAGCGTGCCACTGTGTCAGACCAATTAAATGATGAGATGCACGTGCATGGAACTTGTTTAAACACTGTGCAAAATCTCTGTCAGATCCTGCGGGAATGACCAGTTGGGATCACACCAACGCCCCAGCGATGGTGGAGGCGCTCCACACACAGATGACACCACATCCCCCCCGTGCACCCAGCGCCCAACAATATTGAGCATCAAGCACAGACGTCTGCCCAGCATCCGTGCGTGGCTCACACCATGAACCGTGCGTGGCTCACACCATGATCCCAGCTACTCCCAGGATCATGGTTCAAAGCCAGCCCACGCAGGAAAGTCTATGAGACTCTTATCTCTAATTAATGAGCAAACAGTTGGAAGCGGAGCTGTGGCTCAAGCAGTAGAGCACCAGCCTTGGTTGAAAAAGCCAACTGAGAGCATGATGGCTTGAGTTCAAGCCCCAATACTGGTGCATGTCCACATGCATGTGTACACATGTGTCACACACACACACACACACACACACACACACACACACACACACGGTTGGAGGGGCTCAGTGCTCCAGGAAAGAGGAAACGTATCGTATCATCTCTGTACACACAGCTCCCAGCATAGAAGGCACGCGGTCCTCAGATCCGCTGATTAAACACACATGATCCTTCCATGAAACCTCGGAGAAGCCAGCTGGGGAAGCGGGGACCATCCATGCTGACGTGGCCTGGAGTGAGCATGGGCATCCTGAAGCTTTGAAAAGTTTTAAAAAGAAAGAAGACACACATCCCCCACTTTTCTTTTCTTTCGGGTCCAGTTGTGGGGCCTGAACTCTGGGCCTGGGTGCTGTCCCTCAGCTCTTCCCCACTTTTCTTTTCTTTTGGGTCCAGTTGTGGGGCCTGAACTCTGGGCCTGGGCGCTGTCCCTCAGCTCTTCAGCTCACGGCTAGCACTATACCAGTTGAGCCACAGCCCCACTTCTGGCTTTTTTCTTTTTGCTTATGTGGTGCTGAGGAATCGAACCCAAGGGCCTCATGCATGTAAGGCAAGCGCTCTACCACTGAGCCACCTTCCCAGACACTCCCCCACTGTTCTTTTAGTTCTCCGTGTCATCCAGGCAGGCCTTGGCCAGCTGACCACACTCCCATTCCATTGCTGGAGGAGAACCACTCCCTCCCCAGGACCGAGAGGCCTGGGAGTGGCACTCCAACCACACCTGTCCATCAAGCCCTTCCCTCCCCAGCAGCTAGAACTGCACAGTCTTAAATACTTGACCTGAGCGCTGGTCTCCACCTGTGCCCAGAGGCGGCTGGATGATTTCTGGGCTGAAGAGGTTTTAGAGGTCACTTGTTATCCATATTCTCCCTCTGGGAGGCATCCTGACACAGACATGCCGACCTGACCTTCGGCTGGTCAGCTGTCCCTTTAGGTTTTATTCCCAGTTGTTTTCAAGTAATGGGCTTGCTTTCCCTGACAGACCAACGCTGGCCCTTAGTGGAACTCACTTGGGCAGGTCAGGTGTGGACTGGGAAACGCACCCACAGAGCAGCCAAGCACTCGTCTTCAAAGCCTCCAGCCAGACGAACAGGCTTTTTTTGAACTTATATGTTATTTCATGTGGTATCCTTACTGGTGTGTGCGAGTGTATGTGCTGACATTGGGGCTTGAACTCAGGCTATGCACACTTACATAGCTTTTTCTCAAGGCTGGCGCTCAACCGCTTGAGCCACAGTTCCACGTCTGTTTTCTCGACTAGTCAGATGGATATGAGCCCCTTGGATTTGTCTGCTCCGGCTGGCTTTGAACTGTGGTCCTCAGATCTCAGCCTCCTGAGTAGCTGGGATGACAGGCGTGAGCCACGGTGCTGGGATCAGGTGAATGAATGATTCTAAGAGCCATGCTCAGCTCAACTTTGACACAAATCCCTCCAGCGCCTCACACACACACACACACACACTCACACTCACCCTCCCACACTCATGCCCCATGCTCACACCCCCACTCACTGAGACTCATACACCACTCACATGTGCCCACACCTCCACACCCCCACTCACACACACTCACACACTGGGCTCTCAGTAGGTCCTGCACTCTGGCCATCTGCAGGATTACTGTTGATGACCCCTTTAGTTTGCTTTGGTTGATTTCAAGGAGAACACATGAGACCTTGGGAAAGACCACAGTTCCCTCTGGAATTGTAATTGTCGCTTGGCACAGGAAGGCAGATTTCTGTAAGCAGGAGCCGAAGGCGGGTCTGGCGGGTCTCAAGGGGGAGGGCAGCTCTCCACCCAGGCCCTCCCTCACTCAGTGTGTGAATGTGTTCCCAGACAGACAGCTGACACCGAGGGCTCCTGTCTGGACATCCATTTATTCAAAAGTTGAACAAGCTGCGAGCGGGCGGCTGGCACCTGTGAGCCTGGCTGAGGACGGCAGTTCAAAGCCAGCCCCGGCAGCAAAGTCCATGAGACTTACCTCCAATTAACTAGAAAAAAAAACAACCCAGAAGTGGAGGTGTGGCTCAAGAGGTAGCGCGTCAGCCTTGAGGGAAAAAGCTCAAGGGCAGTGTCTAGGCCCCGAGTTCAAGTCCCAGGCCTGTTGTGCGCCCATGTACACACACAGAGCTCCTACGGTCCTCCTCTAACGTGGGGCTCCAGCTGTATCATATCTGGAGGAAGGCGGGCGCCCCCTGGACACCCCTTCCCCTGGCCCTGGCCACCGTGGGGAGCAAGCCCCTGGGCTGGAGGTGGTCATGCTGAGCTGAGCTTGAATTCAAGACGAGAAAGGTGCTGTGCAGAAACACGTGATGCTCTGTGACATCCTTCCCCCGATCCCCGGGCCTGGGAGGCATCGCTCCATGCCAGGCATCCGTCCATGTCTCTCTGCAGCTCTCCCCGGAGAACCACGGTGACCTTCCTCCTCCTCCTCTTGAGAAGGCCTGGGACTGGCTTCATCTGAGCATCTGAGTCTCTTCATCAGCATCACAGAGCTCTTCCTCTTCCTCGCTCTGCCTCCCTCCCTCGCTGTCCTTCCTCGAAGGCTGAAAGCAGGGTGCCAGTCACCAGTGACTGGGCCACATCCCTGGTCCTCAGGGAGGACCTGCTGGGGCGCCCTCTGCTGATGGGTGGCAGAGGACACAGCGCCCCAACAAGGTGCCCAAAGTGCTCTAAGAAACATTCATTTCTCATGTGGCAGGGATTAATGCTCACACCTGTCATCCCAGCTTACTCAGGAGGCTGAGATGTGAGGATCACAATTCAAAGCCAGCCTGGACACATAAATCAGAGAACCTCTTATTTCCAAGGAACCAGCAAAAAGCCAGAAGTGGGCACGTGGTTCAGGTAGTAGGGTACTGTAAGGTCTGCTCCTGGATGGCGAGCAGACTCCACCCTGCTCACAGCAAAGTCTCCACCCAGTACCTGCGTTACCTAGGCAACTGGCACACCTGGAAGAGGTCACATCTGCATCTGCTGAGGTCACATCTGGATTCAATGTGGCCACACCTTTCTCCACCCATACCCTAGGTAAGGCCTAGCCCAGGCCCAGATGCCCTCTTTCCCAGCTCTTTCCCAGGCCTTTCCCCACTGCGTGAAGGGTCAAGATGGCCTGGTGCCAACCAGAATGATGAATAAACCTACCCCTTACTTGAATACCACGTATGTGGTGTGATTCTTACTGGGCAACCTCTTTTTAAAAACCTAACAGGTACCAGCACTGGCACAGAGGGGGGTGGGGGAGGAGAAACTCATGATTCCTCAACCATCTTCATAGTTTTTGCAAAGCGAGTGCTGTTAGATGCCACTTTTTTCTATTCTATGTGACCCAAGTATTCTATTGATCTCAACAACTCTCATTATCCAAGTGGAAGTTGGGTGCAGCGAAGGCGCCCCATACCTGAGAAGGGTCCAGGGTCTGTAAGGACAGCGCTTCGTCCCCGAGCCGCCTGTAGGAGTGGAGGTCAGCCAAGGTCTCCGGCAGGGGGCTGTGGAGGGTTTCCGGCAACAGCAGGGTCAGGAGGCCGGAGGTCAGGCCCAAGGCTCCGAACACCATGAAGGGCAGGAAAGGCTGCACCAGCCTCTGTGGGGGCATGGAACCAAACACAAGCAAACCATGACTGGAGCGGCTGGAACAGAAGGCCAGCTACGCTTGCTGTCCTGCTCCCCAACCTTTCCCGGGGTGCAGAGATAGGACTTGATAAAGCAACATCAGCGCAGAGCTGTGCACTGATGGCTCACGCCTGGAATCCCAGCTACTCAGGAGGTGGAGAACCAGCCCGGGAAGGAAAGTCTGAGACTCTTACCTCCACATAACCAGCAAAAAGCTCAGAGCGGAGCTGTGGCTCAAGTGGCAGAGCACCAGCCTTGAGCAAAAAGGCTCAGGGACGGTGCCCAGACCATGAGTTCAAGCCCCATGAGTGGAGAAAAGTAGCCCGTCCATCCACCCCATTGGAGCCCGTTGGAGAACTGGCTCGTTCTTGTGCCCGCCCTGCGTGCCCTCTCCCAGGAGTGGCTGCTGAGGGCAGAGAGGGTGCGGACTGACCAGTGAGGGGACAAAGGGGGCCATCATCCCGCCGACCCGGGAAAACATGGAGCACGCGCCCAGCCCAGCATTCCTGGGGAAGGAAACACAAGCAGGCCAATGAAGGGCATTCAGATGTTGGTGCAGGCCCAGGGTGCACAGAACCACACCGCCTACTGGAACCTTCTATGGTTGACCAGTGATGGTGATTTCTCTGGCCATAGGGACGCTGCCGGGCCTGAGAGGCTGACAGTACTGGCACAGTGTTGAGGATAAGGAACGGAAAATTATAACTTGCGATCTCATTCATTCATTCACCCACCTCAGGGCCAGTAATGAGGCTTGAAACTGGGAGCTTCAAGCTCTGGTTTGGGTTTTTCATTCAAGGATGGCACTCTACTTCTTCTTTTTTTTTGGGGGGGCCCGGTTGTGGGGCCTGAACTCTGGGCCTGGGCGCTGTCCCTCAGCTCTTCAGCTCAAGGCTAGCACTCTACCACTTGAGCCACAGCACCACTTCTGGCTTTTTTCTTTTTGCTTATGTGGTGCTGAGGAATCAAACCCAGGGCCTCACACTCAAGGCTAGCACTCTACCACTTGAGCCACAGCACCACTTCTGGCTTTTTTCTTTTTGCTTATGTGGTGCTGAGGAATCAAACCCAGGGCCTCACACATGCAAGGCAAGCGCTTTACCACTGAGCCACCTTCCCAGCCCATGGCACTCTACTTCTTGAGCTACAGCTCTACTTCTGGCTTTTTTGGGTGAATCATTGGAAACAGGAGTCTTCCCAGTCCTGCCCAGGTCGGCTTTGAACTGCGATCCTGGGATCTCAGCCTCCTGTGTGGCTTGCATTTCAGGTGTGGGCCCAAACCAGGCCCCAAACTACTTTTCACAACTAACATTTAGAATCTCATCTTTGTGATTACCGTGTGACACGACCTTTCACCACTCTGTGTGTGGGTGACACCTTCGGGGAAAAGACCCTCGTCTGACTCATGGTTAATCCTGGGTCAGTAACTGGTTTGGGTGGACAGCCCTTGGGGTTCGAGGGAGGGCTCAGCAGGGCGCCAGGCCTCAGCACCCTTGGGTGGAGGGTGGGGCAGTCCCACGGGGCTCTGGGCACCCATGAGGGCAGCACGCGGCTCACCTGACCACCGTGGGGTACAGCTCCGAGGTGTAGATGTAGGCGGTGTTGAAGGCGGCGCTGATGGTCAGCTTCCCCAGCAGGGCGGAGGACCGGCCGCTGGCCACGGAGAACACACCTGTGCCTGGCGAACAGGGCTGTGCAGTGAGGGCTCCCAGCAGCCTCCAGTCCACCTGGCCAGCAGAAGAGGTACAGGCCTCTCTGTCCCCTTGGCCAGCAGAGGGATGGGGGCAGGGGAGGGGGTAAATGTTCCAGGACTATTGCCGCGCCTGAGGTCAGCGGCTATGGGTCGAGGTTGCTGGGGGCTTCAGCCCACGCCAGTTTGGCCTTGCCTGTGCCACGCACGACGCAAGTGCCACTGGTCCTAAACACCTCGATCTATTCTCTTAAACACCCCAATCCACGGCCTCATGCGCCCCTGATCTACTCACTTCAACATCCCAGTCTATTCCCTTAAACAAACACCCCAGTGTACCTGCAAGCCCCCATACAGGATTGGCTCCATGCCCACCCTGTGGCCACCCCACCCCTCGGCCACGCGTGCCAACGCACTGTGCTAGCAAGTCCCACCCCTGTCCTCCGTTCATGCCACTTCTCGTTGTGTTTCTCAGTCTGGAGGGGTTTTCCTGCTCATTTGCATGTCTGCTGGCGCGTATGTGTGTGTGAATGCATGCATGCATGTGTGTGTATGTGTACTGGACTGTAAAGTCAGGGCCTTGCACTCATGCTTAACTTTGCCCTTGAGGCTAGCACTCTGCCACTTGAGCCACAGCGCCACTTCGAGTTTTTGCTGCCTAATTGGAGATACGAGTCTCACAGATTTCCCTGCCTGGGCTGGCTTCAAACCACAATCCTCCAATCTCAGCCTCCTGAGGTGTGCGCATCAGTGTCCCTCTTTAACTGTGATTCTTTGCTCTCAGCGTTGCTTTGGGGTGCTTGGGGGCGGGGCACTGGAGTGGGGTGCCACACCGGGGCTAGTGCACCCCATCTCTCATCCAAGGCTGTAGCTGGTGGGTGCCATAGGGCACCCCTCACGAGGCAGCCCCTCCCAGCCCACCAACAGGGGGCGCACAGCAAGCTGGCCCCTCACCCCTAGAATGGTTTAGGTAAGGTGAGGGACATGGCCACTGCTCCTCCATACAACTGCCGAGGGAGGCACACTCATACACACTCACATTCACACACACACTCATACACACGCACGCACGCACGCATGGGGGGATGGCAGGGGAGGGGGCAGTAATCCACTGTCTGTATAAATATGCTTTGCAAACGCCTCCAAGGTTGAAGACCTACCTTTCTTCTCGGGAATGAACACCACCACGAGACAGGCCAGGCCTCCCAGGAAGAGAAATGCGGCTAATGTCCGCTTGCGACCAAACCTGAGCAAGGCAAGGGGATCTCACATTGTCCTGCCCGCTCAGCATAGCTGCCCAGAAAACCCGGCCCTGCCCTCGCTTCTGTTCTTAAGTGGCAATAGGGGCTGGTCCTGAATGGTCAGGACATGAGGAGTTAGCACCTCTGTCTACCTTTGAAAGAGCAAGAGTAAACACGGGAACAAGAGTGTGTCCTAGTGGCTATTTTATTTTATTTTTTATTTATTTTTGGGTCTGGTCGTGGGGCCTGAACTCTGGGCCTAGGCGCTGTCCCTCAGCTCTTCAGCTCAAGGCTAGCACTCTACCATTTGAGCCACAGCGCCATTTCTGGCTTTTTTCTTTTTGCTTATGTGGTGCTGAGGAATCGAACCCAGGGCCTCATGCATGCAAGGCAAGCGCTCTACCACTGAGCCACCTTTCTAGCCCCCTAGTTGCTATTTTAAATGCTTCTGACCCATACCTGAAATCCCAGCTACTAGAGATCTGAGGATCATGGTTCAAAGCCAGCCTAGGCAGAAAAGTCCATGAGACTCTCATCTCCAATTAACCAGCAAAAAGTTGGGAGTAGAGATGTGGCTCAATTGGTAGAGAGCCAGCCTTGAGCAAAATGCCAAGCAAGAGAGTGAGGCCTGAGTTCAAGACCCAATATACCGGCATGCATGTGTGTGTGTGTGCACACATACAAATACATATATGTATGTTATATAAGTATATGTGTTTAATTGGATTTAAGTCCAACTAACTACACATATTGGGCTTGTCCAGCTGGCCTGGCTGGAGCCACAGTTCTCCGGATCTGAGCATCTGGATGGCTAGGATTACAGCTAAGCCACCAGTACTCAGCTTGAAAAAGGGGTTCTAACTGCATGGGCCTGAGAGGAATTCTAACTCAAGGTGATCAGCAGTCTGTGCCTGCAGCCCAAGCCACGGTATTTGGCATCTACCTAGGACAGGGTGTGTGTGTGTGTGTGCGCGCATCCTCTGCGGTGCACTTTATTTTGACACATGCTCACTGGTCTTTTGTTTGGGTACCCAGAATTGAACTTAGGGCCTGGCTCTGCCCCAGAGTCCCTTAGTCACGGGCCACACTCACCACTTCTGGTTCATCAAGTAGATGCAGATCGGATAGGATGGGATCTCGATGAGGCCAGACAGGGCAAGGTTGAGGTAAATGCTTCCCCCAAGGTCTCCGGCACTCAGTGTGAGGCCATAGTACACCAGGCTGCACACAAACCTGTGGGCGAGTCCTGTCAGAGATCAGAAGAGCCCCGCCCCACAGCGCCATCTGCTGCCCACCAAGCTTTGTGTCCTGAGAGAAATTTCTAGTCTAGCTGGTGGGCACCGGGGCTCACGCCTGTCATCACAGCTGTTCGGGAGGCTGAGGTCTGAGGATTGCAGTCCAAAGCCAGCCCTGGAAGCAAAGTCCATGAGACTCTCATCTCCGGTGAACCTCCAGAAAAGGCGCTGGGGGTGGAAGAGCCCTTGCTTAGCAAGCGCAAGGCCCTGAGTTCCGTGCCCAGCTCTGCAAAAACAACAGCAAAACCCAAGGCAACCAATCACCCAAAAAGCCAGAAGTGGGGGTGTGGCTCAAGTGTCAGCGCTTCCGCCTGGAGCAAAAAACCCAGCTCAGTGGGAGCGAGAGGCCCTGAGTTCAAGCCCCAGGACTGGCACCAAAATGAAATAAAATAGATTCATGATTCAGAAAACTGTTCCCACCATGTCCCACCCCCCCAGCCCCACGGATGGAGAAAGTGGGCACGTGGGCGCCATTCACGGCCGGTCCGTGTGGAGAACCCAGGCCGGCCCTGGCACCCGTGCATGTGCCACCCGACAATCACGGGCCCCGTACACCCCTCTCTTGGATTCTGACTGAGCTGGAGACAGGAGACTCCCCCTCCCCCTCCCCCCCCGCAATTACCATGCGAAGGCCAGGATGAGGGTGTGGCAGAGGAGAGGCCTGTGGCGGCACAGGTCCAGGAGGCTCCCGGTGCCCGGGCAGCTCCCGCCAGGCGCCTGGCCTAGCATCACACGGTGCGCGGGCTGGCCGTTCCTGGCGGCCAGCAGGTGGAGCGCATCCTCCGCCTCCCGCAGGCGGCCCTGTGAGTACAGCCAGCGGGGAGACTCAGGAATGGATCTGAAAGAGATGCAAGGCAAGCTGCACACGGGAGACCAGCGAGGACCGGGGCTCACCATGGCCCAAAGCCCAGCAACCTGTGAGGGGTCCTGGGACTTGAACCCAGGGCCTCATGCTTGCTAGGCAGGCACTCTACCTCTTGAGCCACACCTCCAGTCCTTTTTGCCTTTGGCGTTTTTCTATGAGGGGCTCTCATGGATTCTGGGCTGGCCTGGGCTGTGATCCATCCGCTTGTTTATCCTACTTATGAAGCCAGGACTTCAGGTATGCACTACCCAGGGCAGCTGCCGACTGAGAAGAGGTCCTACACTTAGCCTCAAGGCGTGATCCTCCCGTCTCCGCCTCTCAAGCAGCTAGGAATATAGATGTGAGCTGCCCGAGCCAGCTCAGGAGAATGCTTTCTACTGTGTTATTTTCTGTGCGTGGCCATTCCCTTGTTCTCAAAGATAGTACAAAGTCAAGTTTCAGTCCAGACCCCAGTGAATCTCAGAACCTGAATAAACAGCTACTAAATTAAACAGTGATCAAATTAAAACCTCAGCACATTTATGGTGCTGAAGAAAACTACCTTGGCTGTAAACTATGTGTATGCTAAAGCTTTAAGTGATTAAAAAAAAGAAAACTAGAGCCAGGTGTGGCCACACTTGTAGTTCTAGCTACTCAAGGGGCTGAGTTTTGAGGTGGACCCAAGGCTATGAGACTCTAAGTGCCAATTATCTAGCAAAAAGCCAATCTGGAGTTATGGTTCAAGTGGTAGAGCACCAGCCTTGAGCCAATAACGCTCAAGGACTGAGCCCAGACTGAGTTCAGGCCCCAGGACCAACATGAAAACAAGCAAAATAACAACAAAAAGAATTTCCTCATTCAAGTAAAAATGCAGGAAGAAAAATAACTTACAGAGATAAGAGCCAGACAGCCGTTCCCTGCAGGTTGAGTGTCAAGGCCAGGGTCCTCCAGGAGCGGACCAAGTACCCGAGCAGGGCGCACTGCGCAATCCCCACGGCGAAGAAGAGGCCACCCAGGGAGCCTAGCAAGGGAGGAGGCAGACGTGTGAGCGGGCACAACCCGCTGCGGCCGGCCTCCCACTGCAGCCCTGAGCCAGCCCAGCCCAAAAGAAAGACACACATGGACTTGAACGTGGGGCCTCAACGCTCTCACTTGACATTCTCACGGAAGGCTGGCACTCTACCACTTGAGCCACAGCTCCGCTTCCGGCCTTTTGGTGGTTCACTGGCGATCAGAGTGTCGTGGCTTTTCCTGACTGTGCGAGAGCTGACATGGCACTCACCACTGGCAGGAAATGCCGCACCTGACCCCAGGGGGAGGGGCCCTGCTCTGTGTCTGGGCACATGAAGCCACCCACCATATAAAATCACCTCCAATCTGTACGGGGAGCCCGCAGAACACCAATGTGAGGTGGGGATGCTGCGTGAGCGGCACAGGCCCACCTAGCAGGCAGAAGGTTGCGAGTTCGAACCTCAGTATTGCTCAAAAAGAAAAACAAGCAAAAATCCCACCCAGGCCACCTCTTGGCTTACACCTGTAATCCCGCCACATCGGAGGCCAGGTTCAGGAGGACCGGGGCCTGAGGTCGGAAGGTCAGCCCAGGCAGGAATGCTGCGGAGACCTCCATCTCAATCAGTAAGTCAGGTGTGGTGGTGCACCACTAACGGAAGCTACCGGAGGGTACAGGCAGGAGGATTGTCCAGAGGAGGTCCAGACCAGAGTGGTTGAAACCTCAAGACCTTTCCAGAAAGACAGCTAAAACATTCAAGGCTGGAGACGTGGCTCCAGGGGTTGGTGAAGCCGTGAGTTCAAACACACGTTTCACTTTGTGGATGCAAATACTCCAAAACTGGGGAGGGGGCGGGGGTGGAGGAAACCCTGAAATCTGAACAGCTCTGCCCCCAGGTGCTCAGTAAGGACTGGGCCTGAGTGAGGGACATTGCTCCGACAGACTCCCCCCCACAGTACCTGCCAGCGCCCAGTAGGCGGCGCCCAAGCACTCGTTGAGCAGGACAAAGGCCACCAGCGACATCCCGCCATTCATGACGCCCACCAGGAAGCGGGTGGCGGCGAAGAACTCGTAGGAGGGCGAGAGCCCGTTCGCGATGGCAAATAAGATGTCGAGAGAGAGACCTAGAAGGGAGGACGGCGGTGGTGATCCGGGCGCCCCACGCCTGCGGGCTGACAGGCTGAGCTCTCGTCTCGGCCTTTGAAGCCAGCGGGCCGGCCCGTGCCCCGCTTCTCTGGGAAACTCCAAGGAAAAGCCAACTTGCGTGTCACGCACGGCGCACGGCTTCGTTATTCGCAACACGGTGGGAAACGGAACCTTCTTGCTCACACGTTGCCTGCTGGCCGGACGAGGCCAGCTCTGCACAGTTTAAGTGGCATTGATCAACGCAGGGAGAACTCGGGACCGGAGGGGAAGGCAGGCCATCTTCCACTGCCCGCCTTCTAGAAGCGCAGCATAAACTGCAACTTGCAGGGTGCAGATGGCACAGCAGCCTCCCCGATCCAAAGTGTATTAACACACATCTGGGCAGGTTGCTGAACACGGGGGTCTGAAACAATGCCGCTTGCACTTTGGTCTCTTTCCTGCGCTAGAAGAAAGTTTGGAACCTAGAGCTTGTGAAACTCATGACTGCTAACCTTAGCTACTCAGGAGGCTGCGATCCGGAGGATCGAGGTTCAAAGGCCGCCCAGGCACGAAAGTAGTTGAAACTCAAACAGCAAAAATGCTGACCTGAAGGAGTGGCTCTTCAGGTGCAGAGCACCACTGTGAGCCAGAAAGCTGAGCAAACACTGGGCTCTGAGTTCGAACCCTGACACTGATCAAAACCATAAAATAAAAAAAACATGAATTCCCCGAGAACTGTAATAGCCCCTTCCATCCTCTAACTGGGTTCCTGAATTCTCCGGATTACCTGCGAGGTAGACTTTCTTCCTCCCAAAGCGATCCGAAAGCTGACCAAAAGAGAGGACGCCCACAAACACGCCGCTGAAGAAGAGGGCGCTTGCTGCGCTGACTTTGTAAGATCTGTCCGCGATCAGAAACCACTGCAGGGATGCAGACAGAACTGTCACAGGTGGACTGTAGCAACGATTTCAAAACTAAGAGAGAATCTGTTCCGGGGGGCATCTGTGCTGCACCCCACATGTGTGGCCAGGGCTTGCTGCTCTCCAGCCTTACCATCCAAGGAGCCCGATCTTCAGAAAGGCCAGAAACTTGGGACCACAGCAAATCATCATCGTCATCGTCATCCTTATCATCGGCAATCCTGGGGTTTGGACTCAGGACCTTACATTTACTAGGCCTCTTACCACTTCAGCCACACACTTCAAGTGCTGACTTTTTGTTGTTAATTGGAGATGAGTGTGTCAGGGATTTTCCTGCCTGGGCTGGCTTTGAACCTCGACCCTCTGCCCTAAGCCTGCTGAGTAGCTGGGCTCACAGCGGCGAAGGCAGCAGCAATGACAATGTACAATGCTTCACTGACTTGCTCTGAAATGCAATTGGCCTTGAAAGTCAAACACCTGCTTTTCTACGTGTCACACCCTTACTGTCTGTTCTGGTGTTTCTGTGCTTATAAAAGTCTAGCCTGTAAATTTAGTCTTATTTATTGTGAACCTCAGTTTTTCTAGCCTGTTTAAACAGCCAAGATACAAAGCTGGCTGCTTAATCAGTAAGAAAGGGCAAATCTGGCTGCTCGGTGATCAGCTATTCCCCTGATCACCACTGTGGAACTTCCCAAATCCATCCACGGGCGCCCAGCCCCCAGCGGGGGCATGGGAAGGAGCAGCCAGCGGACCTGGATGGAAAATCCCGGATCCAAATGGCACCGAGATTCCTGGTGATTTTCCTGCTGTCAGAGCTGGCAGGGTGAACGCCAAGATGTGCAGGGAAGGAGGGGAAATGGGAGCTTGGATACTTTAAAAAGTAAGGTAGAGGCAGTGAGGCAGCCAGCATCACCCAGAGACCTTCCTCAGAGCTCAGGTGCTGGGGCCAGCCAGTGTCCCTGCGGCCAGACGCCACCCAGGGAGGGACCCCCGGACAGGGCCTTGCCAATGCTGGTGGAAGTAATGTGCTTTCTTTTCAGTTTTTTAACATTTAAGATATTACTTGCAAGCAGACCCCAAACCTGCTCTGTGAATCAAAGGAGTTATCATTTTTTCCTTTGTGTACCGATACTGGGGCTTAACCTCAAGACTTGGGCACTGTCCCTTAACTTTTTTTTTGTTCAAGGCCTGGTGCTATACTACTAGAGCCACACCTCCACTTCTGGCTTTTTGCTGGCAGTTAAGAGTCTGGTAGACTTTCCTGCCCAGACTGGCTTTGAACCAGAATTCTCAGATCTCAGCCTCCAGGATTATAGGTGTGAGTCACAGGCACCAGACCTCTTATGGCTTTTTGTGAATGGTAGGCCAAATTCTGAAGCTACAGCACATAAAATTTTAATAAAAAATAAATAAATAAAAGATTCCTTTCTTTTCATGCACAGGAGCAGAACAGGAAGAATAGAAAGACAAATATTACCAGTGTTTCAAGTTGACCTATCTAAATCTATTTTCGTGTTCTACCTCCTCCTCCATGTCTACAAAATTAAGTTCATGAACTGAGCATTTGCTATACTTAATTTTCCAAAAAAAATATTTAAGGGGCCTTGCACGCATAACACAGATACAAGGATACAATCGCTCCTCTGGAGAAAAACAGGGCTGAGAAGAAAACAGACATCTGGGGATGGGGCCTGTGGCAGGTATGGCTCTTAAAGAGGAAGAAGGTGAGGAGGGCCCTGGAGAGGTAGCCCAGCCAAGGGGGGGGCGGGGAGAAGGAAGGGGGGGAGGAGCCTGGGGTCTAAGCTTTGATTCTCACTGAAGAGATGGCAGCCCCAGGAAAGAGGAAGCTGGCCAGGCAGGGGCCCTGGGTGAGCTGGCCAGCCCTGGATGGAGGGGGTTCTGAGAAAGAGAATAATGGCTGAGCATGGACAGTAGGGGCTCTGTCCATGATCAGGGCTGATTGAGGCCCCAGGGCTCGATTAGCTCAACCACACAGGAAGTGGAGATTGGAGACCAGGCTTACAGGAAGTCACACAAAGCGTCCTTCACACGTCCCTGAATTCCTCAAGCCTTAAGGAAATGTGACAAGTCAGGCCAATCATTTTTTTTTTTCTGACAACGCAGAAATAGGCTAACCTGGGCTGGGAAGGTGGCTCAGTGGTATAGTGCTTGCCTTGCATGCATGAAACCCTGGTTTGATTCCTCAGTACCACATACACAGAAAAAGCTGGAAGTGGTGCTGTGGCTCAAGTGGTAGAGTGCTAGCCTTGAGCACAGAGAGGCTCAGGGACAGCTCCCATCCCCTGAGTTCAAGCCCCATGACTGGCACAAGAAAAGAAAAGAAAAAAAAGGCTAACCTGGAAAACGAGTTTTAAAATGGACTGCACACTTAACATAATCCTAAAAACAAAATTAATAGCCAAGTAAATCAAAATATAGATACAAATGTATCACAGGCAGGCTGCCCTATCTTCTAGAGCAAGGAGATACTAATCTCCTCCCACCAGATAATTAACCAACCAGCTCTCACCTATTAGTCTCCTCCCACCAGATAATCAACCAACCATTCTCATGTATGCATTAGTCTCCTCCCACCACAGCTACACAGAAATGAAGTAATGCTGGTGAGCGTGGGTTAGGCTAGAAAGTTCCACAGTGGCAGTAACAGGGCTGTCTGCTAAGGGATGGCGGGAAGACAGCTGTGTGCTTTAACTTGAGTTCCACAGGGGTTTCGGTGTCATTTTTCCCTAGTTGGTCTTCTGTTTCAAGGTTTATCTGGCCCACAACTCATTGTGCACCAGGGTTTGAACTCAGGTCTTGCACTTGTTTTTGGCTTGCTTGCTCAGTTGGCACTCTGCCACAATTCCTGTCTAGTCTTTTGCTGGTTATTTGGGGGATAAAGTCTGTCAGACTCATCTGCCCTGATCTGGCTCTGACACTTTATCTAAGACCTAACAACCCTATTTTAAATTATGATACTCAGCAACCAGCCCCAGGCTTTGTTTCTTCTCTTCTTTCTTTTCCTTCCTCTCTCCCTCCTTCTTCCCCTCCTTCCCTCCCTCCCTCCCTCGCTCTTTTTTCCTTCTTTCTTGTTACTGGGGATTTCCATGACAAGACATACAAATGAGATTTGAGATCTGCAGGCCTCTCCTTGAGCCCAGAGACAATCTGACAGCTAGAATTCCTTAGTTTTTATTGTAAGCCCCTGAAAAGCATTTTCATTGGCCCATAAAATATTTCCACGGAGAGCAACACACAGGGTCAAGGCAGTATGAAAAAACATGGTGCCATGTGGTGCACCGGTGACCCACAGGCCAGGCATGGCGGCTGCGTGGGTGAGTCGCCCACCTTCCCTGGCTGCCCAGCATTAAAAAGGCAGACTTGTTGGAGTCCATGCAGTCCACTTTACCAGCTCAGCCTCCCAGGAGGTGGGCGGCGCCTGCAGAGGGCTAGGGCATAGCCCACCTGGTCCTGATGCAATGCACAGGAAGACAAGCCACCTGTCCCCACAAAGTCTAGTCACCCCTTACACATGGCCCCACCAGACTGGGCACGTGCTTGCTGGCCTTCCTCGTGGCTGCAAGCAGTACTTTGGGCAAAGTAAGTCATAAGATGCCGGCCTCCAAAACTCAGCCTCCCAGCATTCGGGTACGGTGGGACTTTGGAACCACACAAACAGCAGCTTCCTCCTGGGTGCCTGGATTCACCACGGAGGACCCTGCCCACCGCAGAGACAGCACGGGCTCTGTGGTGGACAATCTTGAACTGTACCTCAAGCCTCCCCTGACCTGCCTTTCCCAGAAAGAAATTATTTCCCGCTTGGTAGAGGAAGATCTCAGCCAAAGAGATGCCTCTTGACGTGGGAGCACTTGGGCAGGGTATTTTGGGAACAGTTTCATGGTGATTAACGAACTTGACTCATTTCAGTGTAGCTGTCACTCTGAATTACCAGCTAATGGGTGAGGTGTATGGACAGAACAACAAGTAGTGCAGGCGTAAGGAAGCAGACATTTAAATAAAAATTAGCCCTAAAGCAATTAATTGCAGTGAATTATCCAAGCACTTTCAATACACGGCGTTTTGACCCTAGAGATGGGGGTGGGGGGGGAACACACTGACTTTAACAGTCAATTTCAACTCTACTGTACCTACAATGCTATTAACTATTTCAACCTTACACTTTTTTTGGTTGGCAACACTAACGAAGCACGGTAATTGTGTGCTGCTGTGATATTTGGTACTGTCTAATGAGTCGGAGCTCAGGGAATAATTTGAATACAGAAGGCAATAACTGACTACCGAAATTCCACTCAATGATGATTAGCTCATTTTAGAATATCTAGATTCCTCAAGATTAGGAGATTTTTTTTTTGGCACTAAATACCAAGTGAATCACATCACTTTTCATTCATCCTTCCCCAAACTCCACTAAAAATGTTCCTCAAGGTCTGAAGCAAGGGCCATAGCTGCCAACAAGACCTTTCAAATGTGGGGTTTTAACACTGTGTCTTCAACTGTGGGCTCTGCAGATACTATTTTCAGGGAATAAATGTGATCAAAGTACTTTATACACATGTATAAAAAAGAGAATAATGAAACAATAAAATAGCCAGGTACCAGGGGCTCACATCTCAGGAAGCTGAGATCTGAGGATCCTGGTTCAAAGCCAGCCCAGGAAAGTCCCTGAGATTCTTATCTTTAGTTAACCAGGAACAACCCAGAAGTGGAGCTGTGGCTCAAATGGTAGAGTGCTAGCCTTGAGCAAAAAGGCTAAGGGACACGCCCAGGCCCTGACTTCAAGTCCAGTACTGGCATACACATATAAACAGATATGTACTCGTTCACACACTTACATGTACCCACTGCACCTGTGAGCCAGGCCTGCTTACCTCAGAGGTGCACATACATGCACACACATGTATGCACATTTACACATGCACACTCGGTGCACCCGTGAGCCAGGCCCACTTACCCCAGAGGTGTGCCCACATGCATGCACACGCACACACAGCACATCCGTGGGCCAGGCCTGCTTACTTTAGAGTGATTACAGCTGCATGTACATACACACACACACAAATACTTGGCACACCCGCAGGCCAGCCCCACTTACCCTGGAGGTGCGCACACTTGCATGCACACATATGTATGCACACGCACACACGCATACTCGGTACACCCGTGAGCCAGGCCCACTTGCCCTGGAGGTACGCACACATGTATGCACACATGCACACTTGGCACACCTGCGGGCCAGGCCTGCCTACCTTAAAAGTGTGCATACCTGCACATGCACAAACACACACTCGGTGCACCCGTGAGCCAGGCCATCTTACCCTAGAGGTGTGCACACCTGCATGCACACACATGTATGTACATGCACACTCAGTACACCTGTGAGCCAGTCCTGCTTAGAGTGCTTACACTTGCACACACACGCACACTCACCACACCCACGGCCAGGCCCACTTACCCCAGAGGTATGCACGCCTTCATGCACATACATGTATGCACACGTGCACGCACACACACACCCGACGCACCCGTGGGCCAGGCTCACTTACCTCAGAGACGATGGAGGTGAAACTATTGCTGAACCTCACGTGCTTACGCAGCTCGCTGAGGTGGGCCATCGGGACCCAGCTCCCGAAGGCCTCGGCCTGGGACCCGTTGCTCCATGTTTGGTTGGGCAGTGGCCCAGCCAGGTCCCAGCGGTAGGGGGGCGTGGCCCCCACCAGTGCCATGAGGATGGCCTCAGAGGCCACATAGAGCTGAAGGAGCAAACACAGGACCGGATGTGAGCTGCAGGATAGACTGAGCCAGCAGGTCCCCATGGGGAACATGCCCACCTGAGGGACACACCCAGAAGCCAGGTGTACCCACCCTCTGGACACACCCACCCAGGGGACACTCCCATAATCGAGGTGTGCCCACCCCTGGGGAACACGCCCACGGGGGAGGTGTTCCTTGCTTCTGTGTCTGTGAACTGTAGAAATGGGCGGAAACACATTCACAACCTTGTTTGATTAGGGTGGGGGAGCCTCCTGTGCTTTGGAGTGGATATTTTAAAATATGCCCAAAACCTCAAAAGATGTAAATAAATTCAACACCCCAGGTGTAATTATTTCTTTTTGTCGGTGGTGGGGCTTGAACTCTGGGCCTGGGCGCTGTTCCTCAGCTCTTCGGCTCAAGGCTGTTGCTCTACCACTTGAACCACAGCACGGCTTCCAGTTTTCTGCTGGTTTATTGGAGATAAGAGTCTCACGGACTTTCCCGTCCGGGCTGGCTTCAAAGCGTGATCCTCAGATCTCAGCCTCCAGAGTAGCTAGGATGACAGGCGTGAGCCACAGGTGCACAGCCCAGGTATAATTACTTTACAACTTTGGTTATGTTTAGTTTTCTTTTACTCTAATCACAATTGTCCTCCAACAGAAAAAAAAATAGTGTTGCCCAATCATTCAAGAAATATTTACTGAACGTAGCCGAGTACCAGCGGCTCACGCCTGTACTCCTAGCTACTCAGGAGGCTGAGGTCTGAGGATGGAGGTTCAAAGCCAGGTCAGACAGAAACCAGAAATGGGATTGTGGCTCAAGTGGTAGAGAGCCAGCTTTGAGCAAAACAGCTTAGGGACAGCACCAGGCCTTGAGTTCAAGGTCTGGTGCCAGCACATGCACACACTTGTGCACATACAAAGAAATCATCCCTATTAACTTCAACCAGCAAAAAACCAGAAATGGGATTGTGGCTCAAGTGGTAGAGAGCCAGCCTTGAGCAAAACAGCTTAGGGACAGTACCCAGGCCTTGAGTTCAAGGTCTGGTGCCAGCACATGCACACACTTGTGCACACACTTATGCACACACAAAGAAATCATCCCTATTAACTTTGAACTTGCTGTCCTAAAGCACCTTTCAACAGAGTAAGAGTCTGCAAACCTCGACGTGTGGCTTTCTCTGGGCACGTGGCACTGAGCCCATCAGAGGGGCAAGCACGACTGTGGAGTGGTGCCAGACTCCTCCAGCGCTCCTCCTCACACCAAGTGAGCCACAGGACCCGACCAGCTGAGGGAAACCCAGAGAGCCGGAGGCGGGGTCACTGACAGCCAGTGGATGACGCGAGTCCTGTCCCTGATGAACAGGATGAACAACAGCTGTGTGGCTCGGTGCCTCGCAGCCTGGCTCCACAGTGGAGCCCTCAGGGCAGGGTTTGCCTTCCCTCAGGGCTGCCCACCCTATTTGCCTTCAGCCGAGCCTCTCTGGGGACACTCCCGTCACAACAGCCAAGCGGTGCAAGATTGGGCAGAATCTGTGTGCTTCTTGGCCCGTCTGCATACCATTCAGGACATTTTAGAAGAGGTCATCAGCTCATAAAATTAACCATCTCAGCCATGACAAGAGCAGAGAGATGATACACCTGATGGTACTGTTAACAGCGAAGCCCTCTCCCGCCTTCACCAACTGCCCCCTCCCCGGCCCGACCAGTCTGCTGAGACTTAATTGATGGTGTAAAGAAATGAAAATCAGGGCCAAGGGAAGCTCTGGGGAGGCCCCCTCTGCCCGCCGCCTGCCACGAGGCACGGCCAACCAGCCAGGCCTTTCTGAACGTGGCACTCTTTTCCTCTGCCAAGAAGGCTGGCACCTGCCCCAGCCCCTAACAGGTAACTTCCCAGGCTTGCTTCCTCTCCAAGGCCCCAGATGTTCTCGCCGTCTCTCCTGGCCACAAAGCTCCTTCTAGAGTTGTCTGGACTTTCCTGCATATATAGCTATTCGTTTGACTAGTTGTTTTTAAGTAAACAACCCAGGTCCCCCACCCTCTGCAAAGTGCAGGAAGGAGGAAGGAAGGAAGGAAAGAAGGAAAGAAGGAAGGAAGGGAGAAACATTGGTTGGCTGAAGCAGGTGGCAGTCCCCTTCACTCCGGCTGAGCCCTCGCACTTATCTGCGTTGCTTTAGGGCAGGAAGTAAGGAGGACATCCTCCCAAGCCTCCTCTCCACCATGTGAGCCATGAAGGAAGGAGTTCCAGAATGAAGAGTCAGAGCTGATGGCTACCTGTAGCCCCCACTGGAACCTGGGTAATCGGCGGCACACACATCAGCCCTAAAATCCCCACAATCGCCAGACACCTATGGCCCACGCCTGTAATCCTAACTACTCAAGAAAGTGAGATCTGAGAATCTCAGTTCAAAGCCAGCTGGGGCTGGAAAATCCATGAAGCACCAAAAAGCCAAAGCGGAGCTATGGTTCAGGCGGTAGAGCGCCAGCCCTGAGTGGAAAAGCCAAGCAAGTCCCTGAGTTCAAGCCTGAGTACTGGCACACAAAACTACCCTTCATTCTCCTCATAAGCTCCACCAGGGACGTCTCGGTAAGCCATTATCTCCTCTGGTTCACCTCCAGGGAGCCCAGACCAGTGTCTCAGATGGCTGAGTCTTTTTTATCCCCACCCTGTTTCAATACAATTATAATTAGAAAAGTGAATGAATGCACTAGGGAGATTAAATTTTTTTTAAGTTTCCAACAGAGGAGGTTTGGAAAGTAATTGTATCTGAACCCCATTACAGAGCTTTCATAGGACATCTCAGGAAACCAAAGAACCTCCACAAATAATCTCATCACATTCTGACGTTGTGAAGTCATCGCCCTGAGCCATGTTTATTTTCTAAGTAGGAAAGATGAGATAGAGAGTCACTAAGTGGACCCTACAATGTCATGCAATAGTAACAGCAAAATCCCACAATACACACTGCCTAACTGTGGCTCTGGGCTCTTCCTGGGGAGAAATCAAAGATGGGGCTGGTGGCTCCCACCTGTAGTCCTAGCCACGCAGGAGGCTGAGATCTGAGGATCGCGGTTCAAATCTGCTAGACTCTTATCTCCAATGAACCAGCTGAACTGTGGTTCAAGTGGTAGAGCGCAACATCTTTGAGCAAAAAGCTAAGCCAGATCATGAGGCCTTAAGTTCAAACCCCAGTACTGGTGGTACACATGCAAAAAAATTTCCTATGGTCCTGTTAACTAAACCACGTCCACGCTTTCTGCACCAGCCCGCTCAGCCCCCCAAACTCAACTTCCCCACTGCAAGGTATAGAGGCCTATGAATCTGCACCTGCATGTGTGAAGCCAGCTTTCATCTCCTTTCCCTAAGACTGGCCACCGCTGGCTCTGTACTTCGTTTGCATGCAGCAAACCTCTGGGAGAGCCCAGTGGGTGGCTCTTCTGCCCCAGGAAGCCCCATAGGACTGGAACACAGGACTGCAGTTGGCAGGTTCTGATCTGCCAGTCTTGGGTCACGACCTCTCAAGCTCCCTGTGACCCTGTCCCTTGCCCTGACCCTTCTTAGGCCCAGAGGAGCTCAGGTGCAGGTGCTGAGTCTGTGGCTCTCCTCCCAGTCAGCATGGTGGCCCACGTCAGCTCTCCACAGGAGCCTATGTGGTTTGCCAGTATTGCTTTTCTGCTCTGTCTTTCCTCTCTGGCTCTCAGTTTTCTGACAGTGTGATGTGTATTCACGGGGCTTCAGGTCTTGGCGACAAGAGTCTGCCTGCAGTCGCTGGCCTTCTAGTAAAGACTCCCTATTCAACTTTTGAAGAGTGGCTTCTCTGTTTTCTCACCACAGAAAACTTCCTCCTATGGAAGTCAGCGCTGTAATAAAGGGTTTTCCTTGGCTGGGGGGAGATCAGGCCTGAAACTCGGGTTCCCCAGTTTCCACCGCACCCTCCTGCTCTCCAGCCCCAAACCTCACCAATCACTATTCAGGAGAGGTCTATGGGGAACTGGAGACCGGCGTGGGTCCCCTGCTCAGCGACCCTGAAAGAGGCTGGCTCTCCCTGCAAGGCCCCATACAGGTATGGGGCAGCTCCACCAGCTTCCCAGCCTCACCCACACCCACAGGTGACCCCTCACTCAAGGCCAGCAGCACTGTGCCCTAGACCAGAGAGGAACACGGGCATGGGGCTCGGCCTGCAAAGTCTGGCAAACTGTGGAAGCTGTAAATAGAAGCAAACAATGAAGTTCGCCACCTCTGAACCAGCACTCTGGCGGGCTAGGTACCAAACACCACTTAGGGCAGACTTGTTCTGAGTGGGTAGACACTGGTGGACTCCTGGCTAGTCACCTAGGAAGAGGATGAAGGTTGAGAAGTGGAGGGTGGGGGCAGAGAGGCAGGCATGCAAATACTGGTGCTGGTACTGAGACTTGAACTCGGAGCCTCACACTTTCCCTTGGCTCCTCCCGCTCAAACCTGGCTCTCTACCCTTTGAACTACACTGCTACTTTCAGCCCTTTGACAGTTAAGTGGAGGTAAGAGTCGCACAGAATTTTCAGGCTTCACACCAGAGTAGCTAGGATTACAGGCACAAACTATACTGGCTGCCAGCCTCAAAACAAACAAAAAAACATTCTTCCCATGCACTTTGTTAACTCGTTCGTTAGTTGAAACTATTCTTCATAAAGATCAAGTATCACGAGAATAATTCTTTTCTCTGAATTAAATACTCTCCTAGGCTTTAACTGCCTGTTAGGCCAAGGCCGAGGGCTGGGTTTGAGCAGCTGTGGGCTGGACATGCTCTGCTTCCTCTAAAGCAGTGAAGGCAGTTAACTAATGCCTAAGCGGGCTGCCCTCCCCCCAGCCCTCCCCACCACATCCCGCCGGCTCAGGGTGAAGGCTAGCCCGGGAATGGCCTTGGAATGCCCGGGACTTCTGGGCAAGGGCTTGGCCTTAGGTCCTGGATATTGGGAGGAAGGAGGAATGCCACGCGAAGCTACCGTGACCTTTTGCATGTGGAATGTTTTTCTTCCCCGCTGTCTGGACGCAGGCCCGGCGTGGTAGGAGAGGGCTGTGAGTTTTGTCTTTGTGTTCTGAGGGTTCCCCCTTCGGTGGTGGTGGTTGTTTTGAGCTGCATTCTAATTCTGTAGCTCAGGCTAGCCCGGAACTCCCGTCCTCCGGCCTGGGTCTCCAGAGTGCTAGGACTACAGAGAGGTGCACAGAGGCGTGAAGGCCGAGCAATACTGCGCACAGCACTACTGCTCATTTGCTCCTTCGGGAAGTGTGCACTGTGCACAGCACTGTGGGGGATCCTGGGGCTCAACGACTCAACAGCACTTAAACTAGAGTCTGAGGCCTGGGGGGTTGGGGGAGCCCCGCAGAGCCCCCGGATCACCGGGTCTGGCGCGGCAGGGGAGGGGGATGGAGGCGGGGGAGCCGATTCCCTGCGGTACCTGGGGCGGCGCGGGGCGGAGCCCGACCCCGCCGCGCCGGGGACCCAGATCGGCTCGGGACGGGACCTTGGCGCGTGGGGGTGGAGGCAGAGCGAGGCGCCAGTCCGCAGAGCCGGGGTTCGGGGTGGGGACCCGGGGTCAGGTCCCGGCCGGGGTCGGGTCAGCCCGGGGTCAGGCCGGGTCGGGCTCACCTGCAGCAGCGCGGCC